CTCCCAGGTGGGCTGGCAGCAGGTAGACCACACTGCGCGTGTTTGGAGGACAAGGGCCCCATTGGCCCTATTGAAAAACTCTAGTAAGGGGACATCTCATTTGCTCAAATTACTGTGATAGAAAGGAAAATATATTAACAACAAAGGAGAGGTGGGCGGGGGTGGGGAAGGTGGCGATGCTTGAAGACATTCGAGAAGAGAAGTTACAGGCAGCTTCCCATCTCACGGAAATGGATGTTGAAGGAAGGAAGAGAAGATATATAATGCATAGACATGGGAGAGAGTAGGAGGAGAAACGGTGAAAAAGCAGAGTCCATCTTGGCTAAAGTAGAGAAGAGAAATACTGGAAGTTTAAGATTATTTGGGGGTAAGGAGGGAATTGGACAAAGGACAGAGACAAAAGGGAGTCAGGGGTAAGCTGGAGAAAAGGACTCCCATCCCAACTGGTGTGTGTGTAACTAAGGAAGGGAATCAATAGATCAATCAATATGAATTTATTAAATACTCTATGCCAGGTGCTTTTCTAGGTCCTGGGGATACAAAGGATCTAAAAAGAGTAAAGAACAGTCCTTGCCCCCAAGGAGCTTATACTCTGCTGAGAAGACATGTACATCAATAGGTTTTGTACATACACACACATACATATATGCACGCATGTATATTTATATGTGTATACACACACACACACATATACATACATACTACACAAGCAATGGCGATAATCAGTGGCATCAGTCCTCCTGAGCTGTTGGACTAGGGCACTTTCCATGGAGTTGGGCGGGCACTCTGGTCCTTTTCCACTAGATGTGTCCTTCAGCTAGGGGCCAGAGCACATACTCCATTGAAAGGAGCCAGAGTTTAAGTCCTTGGGATTTGGGGAGGGGGGTGAACAACAAAATAATCTGTTGAGGGGAGGGAGCAGGAAATGACTCATTTAGGAGGTGGTGTTTGAAGTGAGTTTTATAAAGAAAATTAGGGGTTCCACAAAGTGGAGGGGAGGGGGAAGAGTGAATTCCAGACAGGAGGCACAACCTTCATGCAGAGGCAAGGAGGTGGTAGATGGAATGATTACGACTAAACGGGGAAACTCTGTCACAGATTTGATCCTTTGACCCTTTCATCAGGACCTGTCAAAGATTTGATCTTGGGGAAACTAGCCGGTCAGGTCCTGCAGTATCACTAACTTTGATCTTCCAGTAAATATCTAAGGGAGGGTAAAATTTTAACTTTGATGAGACCGTAAAAGCCTTGTTGACTATCAGGGAATTTCCTGAGCTGTGTTGCATAAAAACTGGATTACAAGGTTGAACAGATATCTGGGAGGAGCCCTTACAAGTTCTCAGGAGTACCTGCGAGGATGACCACCCATCAAGAAACGGCTGTAAGTGGACACAGGAGTCAGCCCTTGGTGTGGGGTGGCTCACTGGATGACTCTCCACCCCCACTCCACTAGCTTTGCAGTTCAGGGATGAGCCCCTGGACCTAGACATGGTTGGATTAACTTTGAGCTTTGAGGTCAACAAAAGTGGTGCAAGACTTTGTCTCCTGCCCTCCTGAGCTTACACTCTAATTACATCAGACACAGAGTCATCACTTAGACTGAGTTCAAATCCAGGCTCAGACATTTACTAGCTGTGTGACCCTGGGCAAGTCACTTAACCTCTGTTTACCTTAATCCACTGGAGAAAGAAATGGCAAACCACTCCAGTATCTTTGCCAAGAAAACCCCATGGCCAATATGGGCCACAAAGAGGCAGATGTGACTGAACAACAACAACAAATTAAATTTGAGAGGCAGTGTGGTATATGGTGGAGAGAGAGTTGTTCTAAAAGATGACACTGATGTCGACTGGGCTGTCCAAATGCACCAAGACCGGAGCAGGAAGCATTACGTTCAAGTGAAGATGGGCTCCCTGACGACTCGCTTGGGGGAGGGGGAGGAGGACTTTTAAAGTCTTTAGGATGCTCCAAAAGTTTAGCTTGTGTCCAGTTCTGTTACCTGAGCTACCACAGGCCAGTCAAAGATCCATCTCTGACAACAGCATATAACGGTGAAGGCCCAAAGAGCCCACTTGCGATTTAGGTTGGTGAGAACCACTTGCATGCTTATAGCTTGCTGCAGGATTTACAGAGCACTCCATTCACAATAACTTTGCCAAGTGTTATCACGCCTGGGGTTAGAGGCAGAGTAACTGAACTGGGGCACTGTTTGAAGATCAAGTAGACAGAGTAACTTCGTCATCTGAAAAGGTGGAAAAGCTGTCCCTCGCCCTCTCAGTGTATCGGGCTGCTTACTTTTATTTGAGTTTGTGCTGCTGTCATAGCCCCCAGAGGTCTCTCCTCTCCGGGGTGACGAGGGATCATCCCCACTGCCGCCATCGTCACCTTGATAGCTGACGCTCCCAGCTGTTTGTAGATCAGGTTCTGGATAGTCTCAACTAGAAAAGGAAGAGAGAGAGCACAGAATTACTGCAGCCATATAACAAGGCGGTCAGACACCAGGAAAGAAACACAGCACACCACACCGCTTTGACACAGGGACTGCTGCCATGACAAACAAGATGCCAACGTCTAAACAGAAAGTTAAAGATACGCTGTGGGCTCTCTCATATGTTTCCCTTTGAAGATGACCATTAACTATCACTAAGGTCCATATGCTGAGCTGTGTTTAGAGCAGTGTTGACAGATTCGCACTGCATCAAGCCACGCTTTCTGGCCCAGCCCTTAAGAGTACACACTGGTGAGATGGCAGGCCAAGGCTGTGTCCATGAAAGAGACAAAAGCAAAATAGTCCACAATGAAATCTGATCCAGGGATGTGCCTTCAACACAGCGCCAACAAGCAAGAGGTTTGGTCTATCAATGCAAGAAAGTTTCATTTTCTGCAATGTGCATTCAGCATCACCAAGGAGAAACAGATAGCAGCTTCCTCCATGAACACACGTGTGAAAGCACGCCCAAGGTCCAGCACTGTGCCCTGATTTATCACTAGGACAGACCAGGTGGGTCTCTTCCACTCCTTAACTCAGGGGTTCATACATACAGTGGTGGTCAATGAATGTGGGATGAGTCAATGCGTGCAGCCTGGCATATCAGTCTACAATATTCTGGATCTAGAACCACATACTCATAGATATGTGCCTCAGGTGAGTCACCGACCTCTTCTCTGTACCTTAGTTTCACCTTCTGTAAAATGAAGGGGTTCAGGGGCAGCTAGGTGGTGCAGTGGATACAGAGTATTGGCCCCGAAGTCAGGAGGACCTGAGTTCACATCTGGCCTCAGACCAAACACTTGACACTTACTAGCTGTGTGACCCTGGGCAAGTCACTTAACCCCAATTTGCACCACCCCACCCCCAATCTAAAATGAAGGGGTTGGACTGGGTGGTCAATGAGTCCTTGCCAACCACTACATCCTATGGCTCTAAGGAACATTTTCATAATCATGAGTGTCCCTGGCCACCGTCTGGAAGGTCTTCTGCTACCTACCTTCAGATATTGCCGACTTCAGAATCATATCGCCTTGCAAGTTCTCTGAGGGTTCTCCCCTCGGAAAAAGAATCTGGACTGCGAACCAGGAGGAAGATCTTCGAAGCTGTTAATCTCAGACATTTCCAAAGAAATCTGCTGTTTCTCATTGAGACTTTGAGCAATCAGCTCATCTTTCTTGCTTAAACGCTCTAAGAAAAGGAGTACAGTTAAAAGGGTGTCAGTCTCTTCCACGTTGATTTATGATTTATACAACAGAAACCTCTCATTGCTGCTGGTGTTTGGGGCCAAAATGATTAAGCGCCACTATTAAAGTCACCTAGGCTGGACTGGATTTTCCTGACAAGAGAATGTTTCAGACACAATCATGAGACTGAGCTGGAATACCTTAAATTTTAAAAAGCATCACTTCTTTTAAAGTCTTTAGGATGCTCCAAAAGTTTAGCTTGTGTCCAGTTCTGTTACCTGAGCTACCACAGGCCAGTCAAAGATCCATCTCTGACAACAGCATATAACGGTGAAGGCCCAAAGAGCCCACTTGCGATTTAGGTCGGTGAGAACCACTTGCATGCTTATAGCTTGCTGCAGGATTTACAGAGCACTCCATTCACAATAACTTTGCCAAGTGTTATCATGCCTGGGGTTAGAGGCAGAGTAACTGAACTATCTGAAGCTGGACTCAAACCCAGGCCCCTGACTCTATCTCCTTACACTGCACTGAGCCGCCTCCCCAAGAGGCAAAGGGTCCCTGGGCAGTACACAGATCTCAAGAATCCCTTCAGATGACAATGAAGCAGAAACGGCTATATCCAACGAGCTGTATTATCAACGCCGTCCTAGCTGGGAGGCGTTCAGGAGCTGTGGCTTCAGCCCTTGCACCGCGCCCTCCCCGACGTCCCCCACCTGATGTGCTCTGCTGGCCAGTCCCCAGGATGACCCCACTATGGCGCCCAGAGCACGGCCCTTCCACCTCGATCAGGGCCCGCTCCCCCAGCTCACTGCAGAAGATGCCCAGCTCCAGAGAGGCCGCTCACAGCCCAAGGACACTGGTCTGGTCAGTGTGGATCATTTGGTGCTACAAAGTAATGAGGGTCCACCTCCGCTCTCAGCTGACCTCCACCTGTCCCTTCTGATTCCTGGCTTCTCTAACCCTCCTCTTTCTCCTTGCCTGCCCAACAAGATGCCTGAGGAGGATCCTGGGAAAGGACAATCATTTCCATTTTTCCCCTCACATACCGGATTGAAACCAAACTGCAAGCCGTTGGCAACTCTAGACAGCACTGGATTTAGAGTCGGAAGATTTGGGTTCAAAGTGACCTCTGCCACAGACTTCCTGTGCCTCTTCACTTCTCCATGACTCAGCTTCCTCATCTATAAAATGAGGGGCCTGGACTAGATGTCTTCTAAGGGCTCTTCCAGCTCGAAACCCACAAACTTATGACTGATTCACAAATGATTTCGAGAGCTTAGGTCAAGGGTAAAACAAGGCAATGTCTAGATCTACAAGCATAGCACTGCCCCCTCCCCCCAATGGTTTTCGGCTGACAGCAGCTGTCTCAGGACATGGGTGAGAGCTGCCTCCCTCCCAGTTCAGACTCTCCTGGTAGAATCTGCTCCCAGCCCCTTTACCTTGGAATTCTTTTAATTTTACAGCTCGGGCTTCAGCCATTTTTCTGTCTTCTTCGGCCTCACTGAACGGCTCTTCCTCCCCATCGGGGCAACTGAGGGAAGAAGGGAGGGACACTGCTGTGACTTGCCTTGGTGTTTTTCTCTGGATCATTCTCTGGTTTCTTAAAAAGGGACACTGCTCTTCTGAGGCATCTAACAGAGACAGGTGATAAGAAGTTTTTTAACTGAATGAAACCTGTTTGTTCATCACTAGCTTAGGAAAAAAAGACAGAGGGAGCTGGAAGAAACAAACCAGCAGATATCTGTGGAGGACTCCATCTGCGCAAAGCGTGAGTTGAAAAGGAAAGCATATACACAACCTTCAACATCGGAGAGCTCACAACTTAAGAAGGGGAGAGCACAAAGTACACAAGAACACCCTCAACAGAAAGAAAAGTCAGCGAACATTTATCTGAAGGCTCTGCAACACTGATGGACTGCTGGAATGAGAAAATGTGGACGGGTTAGCCAAGGAAGCCTTCCTAGAAGCGGTGAGTTTCTAACAGAATGGTGAAACTATTTGGCAGAGAGAAAAGGAAAAGCATTCCAGAAAGAGGGAACAGGACTCAGAAAGTGCTCTAAGGAAGCAAGGTTTTTCTAGGACACAAAGTAGACTTGCCTGCCCAGAGCTAGCTAAAAGCCAGGGCCGACATAATAGGATTGAAAGGGCCCCTGAGTAAAAGTGGACAGGAAGTGCAGTGCAAGGAGACAAATGAGTTTAAAGGGAAATCAAGTTTGCAAACAACTTGTTGCTGTCATGAAGAACACTCCATCTAGAATACGGAAATCTGGAATCCATCGACGCCCAGGCCTCTGGACTTTTATGTAGGTAAAACTAGCAATGAATGCACAGGCTCTACAATCTGGCTGGAAAAATAGGAAGCCTTTTTAGGATCTCAAAGGCTTAACTATTGTCAAACACAGACTGCTCAGCTCTTCTCAAACTTACCGGGGACAGTGCGATCTGCTCTTCTGAGACAAGGGAATCCCTCCTCCTCCCCCAGGCTAGCCCCTCACAAAGGGGTGGAAGAGGGCAGAAAACTAACTCTCCTCACTGCGCTACAGAACCCACATCGGCTGTTTAGCTTTTCGTGAAACAATCTCTAGGTGGTGCTACAAGAACTAAAAGACAGTTAACTTTCTTTTGGCCATGAAGGTAAAATATTCACTCCGAAGGGAGCAAATGCACAAATGGGAAAGAAAACCCTTCCAAAGTTTTATTTACCTTTCCACAGCTCTGCGGATCTGGGTCATCCATGAATTTCTCTCTTCTTTGGAGCAGGTATAAATTTCATACATTTCTGGTCCTTGCAGCGAGGCACTGATCAGAAACATTGCTTTTTCCTCATTTGCTACCTCCCTCACAATTAGCTTTTGTAATGAAATAACAGGTGGCTTTGAGTCCTGAAAAACAAAACCAGATGGGGGTGGGGGGAGGTATAGTTTTTTTGCCTTCACCTTCTCACACAACTGAATATTCCTTCTCCCTACCAGCAGCAGCAGCAGCAGCTTACTTCAAGGGGGAAGGTGACCCTGTTCATTTTCAACACAAGAAAGAAACCTAATAGTTCACAGAAAAAAAGTCCCCGGCTTGGTGCAGACAAGGAGACGGCAGAGCAACGAAGGCTGACGTCATGGGAACGGGGACATTTTCGCTGGTTAACACCATGTCACGCTGTCGTCCGAGAAGTGTTCGAAACCACTGGGACCAGTTTTTAGCTGTCTGCGTTTGGCCGCCCGCTCAAGCTGCCTCTGTTTCCTTGCTCCTTCATTGCTGACCCTGGGAAGCAGTCTGTAGGAAAGCTCATCCTCAGAGCCCTCCCATCAGGCAGCTGTGCTCCTGACTCCCCTGAACCTCACCACCAAAGCCAGCAGCCTCTGCTCAAGCCCCTCTGATCACTTGGAAGCATCAGGTTCAATTCCATCCACCAAATGCTTACCAAGTTAATCAGTTGAACATTTATCAACACCTACTTGTTACTTTGTGCACGGCCCAAGAAGTAGGAATACTCTGCTCCTCAATCCCACTTACAGACCTAGGCCTACCCTCTGCTGGCTAAATTTAGCAGCCACCTTTCCTCCTCTGAGATTCACTCCGTCTGTCTCCACCCCTCATTCTCCACCCCGTTCAGATCCTTGTTGCCATCCCTTACCACGCTCCAGTTTATTTTTCTTTTCTTAAGGAGTCCAGTGTCTGGCTCCGTCTTCTCTCCACCCCAACTCTTGCCCTCACACTCAGGGACTTCAACATACCTACTGATATCCTTATGAAAAGCCTAGCCTCCACTCCCATTCCTCTGACCTGCATCCTTTATACCTCGGTGACCCACACAGATGGAAACATGTTAGCTCTTACCAATATCCCTGTGACCTCCACAATCCTTAAGGCCGAAATTCTCTACCCCGATTAAAGTCTCTTCTGCCTTCCTCCACTTAAACCATATTTAATGTGGCTTCCAGTCCTTAAGAGTGCTGACACAATGGTTAACCAGTTCAACTACACACCAGCCTTTACTCTCAAAACCTTTGCTTGCCCTCTTGTTCTGCTGCCACTCAAAACTTGCCCCTGTGTTGACTGGGTCCACTACAAATTTGTTATCTATTCTCAACTGGGCCTCACTAATACAAGCCAATTTGACAATTTTTATTCTCTCCAGTAAACTTTTAATTTTTAATTAACAAAACATACAGAACACCAACATGCTCAACTCAATCCTTAATGTAGATTACGGAAAAATCAAGAGACTGATAAACACTTAGAAACAGCGGCTCACATTGTTGCTTCCATTCCTCTCCTGATTAGTGACTATCTCTCATAGATCACTACTTCAGATCAGCCCCAAACTACCAAGCTTCCCTTCACTCCTTCCTCTCTTGTACTCTACCACTCCAGCCTTCAGCCTAGAAGTTCTGCTCTCCAGATTGGTGGCCCTTTCTTTATCACTCCAACCTCTATCCAGTTTTGGAACCAAGAGGAAACCAACTGCTGTAGTTCCTGGATGGGGTGTGTCCTCATACTCTCCCAAAGCCTCATCCACCATCCCAGTAAATTTCTAGACCAAGGGTCTCTCCCAGGTCACTATTCCCAGAAGTGTGAAGTTTAAGGTATCTATGAGTCATCCAGTCTGAGATATCCCCACGGGCAGCTGGAGACATGAGTATGGAGATCAGCAGTGAGGTTAGGACTGGATAAGTAGATTCCAGAAGTGTCAGCACAGAGGTGATAATTTAATCCAGGGGAGTTGATAAGATCACCAAATGAAACAGTACAGAGGGCCCAAGACAGAGCCCTAACACCCATGGTTAGGAGGCATGACCTGGATGAAGATCTAGCAAAGAAGACTGAGGGAGGAACAGACAGACAGAAGAAGAACTAGGGGAAAGCAAAGAATATAAAGGAGGTGAAGATGATTGACAGTGACGGACAGTATCAAAGGCTGCAGAAAAGTCAAGAAAGAGGACTGAGAAAAGGCCACTGGATTTGATGACTAAGAGATCATCAGCAACATGGCAGAGAGCAGCTTCAGTGGAAAGATGAGGCTAGAAGTTAAGAAGCAGAGTTAAGAATCAAGTAAGAGGAGAGGAAGGGGAGGCAACTATGGTGGAGGGCTTTCTCAAAGTCAGCCATGAAAGAGAAGACAGAGAAAAGTCAAGAGCTAGCAGGAATGGATGGATGGATCAAGTGAAGATTTTCTGAGGATGGACATGTTTGTAGGAGGCAGGAAAGCTGCCAGCAGAAAAGGAGCAGTTGAAGATAAGCTGAGAGTGAGAACTGTGTGGAGGAGACAATTGTCTGGAGAAGACAGAATGGGATGGGGGTCACTTGTTTAAGTAGAGAGGTTTGCTGTGACAAGGAGAAGAGCCACTTAGTCAGCGAGGTGGTGCAATGGATAGAATACCAGGCCTGGAGTCAAGAAGACCCGAGTTCAAATTCGGCTTTAGACACCACTATATGATTCTGGCAAGTCACTTAACCTGCTTGCCTCAGTTTCCTCAAGTGTAAAATGAGGATGATAGGCCATAGTAGACTCTTATATAAAGGCTTATTTCCCTTCTTCATCTCTTCCTGTGAAAAACAATGATTAAGATGGTAGCAGAAGGCCATCTGAGTGATGTGAGATGAGGAACAGGAGAAAAGAGAAAGTTCTCTGGGAATGACCTCAAATTTTCAGCTGAATATTAATTTTTCAGCTAAATATCTCAGCTGAGGGAGGAAACAGAATTGATTAGGAAATACAAAAAGATGCCTATTGCAGTGAGGGCCCTATTTCTGTCAAAAGAACTACCAGTCTTCCATCTGCACTGGTTCGAAACCTCAGAGTAATCCTCAGCTCTTCAATCACTCCCATCCCCTATGTCTAATAGGCTGCCAAGTCTGGTCAATTTCACTCCATTTCTTACACCCACCCTTTCTCCTTATTTATCCAGTTCCCACCTCAGTTCAGGCTCTCCATCACCCCTCACCTGGGTCACTGGGGTGGTCTCCTCAAGGGTCCCCTATTTCTACTCATCCTCCACCCTGTTGTCAAAGAAGCCTCACCATTCAACAACCCCCACTCAAAAATCTGCAGGAGATGCTAGTGCCTCGAGTATACAATAAACTCCTCAACCTGGCACTCCAAGCCCTCACCCAGTGGGATCCACACTACTGCCTTTCCAGGATCACTTCCTACCATTTCCCTTCTTCCCTTTTCCCACTATAGACAAGTTGGTCACTGGCTCTCACTCACAGGCTCTTCCACCTCCCAGCTAAAGCTCACTCCCTCCCCTCCTCCCCTAGCTCTCTCTTTCTCCTCCCTCCTACAAGTGCCCCTAGAGAAGAGAAATTCCAGGAGATCAGACACCATTTTAGTTTTCTTGGTATCCCCAGCAATCTAGGAAATGGGTGCCTTGCTCAAAGGAGGCATTTAATAAATGTTTGTGGAAATGAACTTCTTGCTGGCATCACAAACTCAACCTCAATGGAGAAGCAGCAAAAGAAAAGAAAAAAGAAAAGAAAGCCAAGGATTTAGAGCAAAAGGAGTTGGGTGCAAATCCCAGCTACAACCCTTACTATCTGCATGACAACACTGGGCAAATCACTTCACCCTTCTGACTCGCACTTTCCTTCCTTACCAGAAACAGAAGTCTCTTCTAGCTCTCAATCCCAGGTATGACCAAAATCCAATTTATTATATTTTCCCCAAAACTACCTCCCACATCTGCTGTGTGACCTTGGGCAAGAATTTAACTTCTCTGGACCTCAGAGTCCACAATGAGGCAGGGTGGCCTAGATGGTGCCTGTGGCCACTGCCATCTTACAACCTAGGATCTCACATTTCCTTCTTACCTGCTTCTCTGGGCTGTGTTCAAGAAGCAATGTGGTTAAATCAAAGATTAAAGCCCAGACAGCATGTCTGAGAGAGCCAGGATGACCTGGGCCTTCAAGGGCCCTAGGTAAGGAAAAGCTGCCCCCTGCCCCCCACCCCCACGGCAGCCCTTCAGCAGCGTTCTGGTCCTGGAGAGTGACCTGGCTCATGAGGAGGTCATGTGCCTTACACAGGGCTCCCCAGGCAGCACTGACCATGAGGCCAGCTCTCTAACTTCTACCGAGGGTGGGGTTTAATGGGCTTCTCCACTGGAAGAATCACGTTAGATAAATATGAACTAAAGTAGAAATAGGATGGTGTGGGAAAGGCCAGTTCATACTGAACAGGAAACTTACTACATAGTTAGACTATAACCTATAGAAGCTGATACAATTCTTGATGTAGGAATTGCTTTGAATCTTTGAGAAAGGTAATTGGCACCAGTTTAATCAGAAAAAACCAAAACCCAAGTCTACCTGCTGCCTCCCCCTCTTTTGCCCCCAATCTGCATAGCAAGTAACCAGGACTTTCAGGGCTATTCAGAAGGGCAGTACCAACCAGGAACTAATTCTCTGGAGCCAAACTAACACTCACCAAAAGGGATCAGAAATAACGATGAGCCTTGGACCTGGAGGGGCAACAGTAGGTGGGCTATGATAATTACATCTGGATTGGGGGCTCAATAAGTAAGCTTTCCTGATCTTTCAGCATCTAGCTGGTTCTTGGTTACCATGGTCTCAGATTAAAGGCGGAATGGCCTGTACTGTTTTCCAAGCTGAAAGAGTGGGTCTAATGCCCCTCCCCACAATCAGGCCCCTGAATTAACATGTTGCTAACAAGAGAGCTTTTAAAACAGGATTCCAGCACCACTATCTGATGGCTGTGCACTCTCCATGCTCAAGAGGAAATGGAAAAATGCAATAAAGAAAAGTACTGCAAAAAGTACCCAAACTGTTCACATTCTAAAGGCATTGCAACTCCTGAACTCATCGAAACTGTCTTCACTTTGTTTTTAGGCTTTTCCGATAGACTGATATTAGTTAGAAGTTACCATTT